CGCTCGGCTGCTAGTGGGCCCTTTAGAATTTAGAGCAGGCATTGGAAGCAGAATTTAAAAAGGCACTAGGCAGCAGAATTTAGGATTCACAGAGATTGCATCAGGTGGGAAAATGCCTAGTGCCCACTCTGTGTATGATGCACTAAGGTATATTAGATGAAACAAGACATATTAGATGAATCTTTTAAATTGTAAGTTTTCTATTTCTTTTATTAATAAAAAAATCCCTGCCCAAGTTGATAAGATTAGAAGCATTTTTGATATTTTTCATGCTTGCGTCTAGCGAAAAGTAGTGAAAATAAAGGGAAGATAAACAAACATGTTAAGAAAAAGATTCTAGTATCAGGAGTAAAACATTCAAATATTATGTTTTCATTGTTCTTCCAGACATTCTCCAAAAAGTAAGAAATTCATCGCAAACATTCTGTAAAATACATGCATTACGTGTATTGCCATGCATTACGTGTATTGCCATGGAGATATTTTTCATTTTGCCACATATTTCTCGAATCTTCTAGAATCGTGGATCTATAAATCTTGCCTTCAAATCCTTCTAAACTTTCCAAGCTGCAATGTCTAAAATGCTAAAGAAAAATTATCCACCAATACCAATTCTGTAACAGCAAAATGCCAGAAATATTTTGGGGGGAAAAAAAAAAAAAAAAAAAAAAAGGGAAAAAGTGCAAAATTAATTTTGTAGAGGAAACTGAAGCATTTTCTGAGAATTTTGAATATTCTGAGACAATTAAACGCTTACTATGAAAAAATTAAAAAGAAGACATTTTTAATTAATTACATAGCTAATTTTGCTTTTGCTAAGAGCTGTTTTGTAAGTTATGCTTTATATCATTATACCTTGTTTATTTTTCAGATTCAAAATATTGTATAAAAAGTTGCCAAAATGAAACTTTATAATATGACAGCAAAAAATAAAAATGTTTTAATGTTATTTTTTAAATATAATTTCAATATGTTACCATTATTTTAGTGAAATTTATCAATGTTATGATGTTTTAAAAAAATCGTAGAAAAATTTTCAGATCTCGGATTTAAAAATATTCTATAGAAACTGATCTTAAAATCGCCAAAATGTTGACAAGTCGCTAAATTTAGAAATGTTTAATAAAAGAATTCACATCCCCAAAAGCGAAAGCTTGTTTAAGAGCTCTTTTTTAGACGAGCTCTTTAAAAAGCTTTTGCTTAAACAAGCTTTATTAGAAAAAATGAATTTTGAAATGCTTATGTTTCACTTCTTGCTTAGAAACTCGAGTATTGCATCATTTATATCAGAAATAGAAACAAATTATAACCCATGAACCTATTCAAAAGATAACCATATATGTCAGTGAATCCCCAAAAATACTCCTCCAAAATGCTAATCACACTCAAAATGGCAGTCATAAAAAAAGACAGAAATTTCAGATGATTAAAATTAAGGACCTTCTGCTGATTCTGGCCAAAATTTAGGACTTTTAAAAACCAAAAATCGATTCCAAAAAATCTAAGGACTCTTAAGGACCGCACGAACACTGTTCAAAGGAAAAGCATAATTCAGGTATTCAACTATATATCTTTTTTTTTTTTTTTTTTTTTTTTTTTTGTAAAATAACATACATCAATACTTAATTAGATATTTTAAAGTTTATGGTCTTTTGAATTATTTCATTTTGTAATTTTCTTAATTGAATCAATCAGTGAATTGCCAAATGACCAAAAATCAGTGAATCACCAAAAATGCAGGGTGTTTCAAAAAGAATACATGTATTACAAAGTGTTATTTTCTCTACACTATTGATCACTGCACCTCGGCTCAGCTATTGGCGAAACGAATACATAGTCTAGTTTATATTAATAGCCGCTAGATGTCAGTTGTCTTCTGTTTTGCGTGGTAACCATCACATGTTTAAAATGGCTACTCTGCAGGAGAATCATTTTGTGTTCTCGAGTTTGCGAAGTGCAATTCCGTGATTACAGTGCAAAGACATTTCAAGTTCAGGTACCAAAGTGATCATTCGAATGGGTGGAACATTCGCAGATGGTATTGACAGTTTGTAAATACAGGATGTGAGGAAAGAGTTCTGGCCGCCCTCGTGTTCCCGATGAAAATGTTGCACAAATTCAAACTGCTTTCCAATCTAGCCCTTCAAAATCAACTCGTCGTGCCAGTCGTGAGTTTCAATTGCCTACAACAACAATTTGGCATGTTTTGAGATGTTGGTTGGTTAACTTGTTACAGGCTCTACATCCTGATGACAAACGCAAATGTCCTGATGGCAAATGCATTTTGTAACGAGATTACTGATGCTATTGACAATGATAATACTTTCGCACAACCCATCGTGTTCAGTGATGAAGCGACTTTTCATGTGCAGTCACCGCACAGGACGGAGGTTTTGCATCGCTAAGCCCAATTTTATAAAAAAAATCAGAAAAAAAAAAGTTCCACTTCTAGTATCATAATTTTTGGTATCATTTTAGATTATTACTTAAGCTCTTATGTATGTTTAAATTAGCACTTAATAACCTTTTCTTTTCTTTATTTTACATGATAATATATTTAAAAAATTGCTTACCTTGTAAAATACTTTTCGGAAGCGCTATTCAAATCATTCCAAAATTTTAATTGACAAAATCCATCAATAAAGTTTAAGATTAATAAAACAACACAATACAGACTATTTACAGTAAGAAGTAACAAAATTTAAAATGAAGACTGAGTGTGGTAAATCTCAAAGCACAAAGAAGTATCACTTTTTAACTCTTGGAAAAAGTGACACTTTCAAACTCTTTAGAAAATGAATCATCACTCTCATCTGTGTTAGTAAATGGTTCATTAACGAGTGTATTCTTCCTCTGATAAGTAGTGCTTTTTGTGCCATAATAGACTGTATGTGAGGCTTTCCGAAATAAAAAGAGAAGGACCTGAAATATACCTGAAGGCAATGCAAAATGTAAAAGAACTTCACATAGTAACCCTAAAAGACCATACATGGTAGAGAAAAAAATGGAATAAAAAAAGGAATTGGATATAAATCAGACAGGCGAATGTTTACATTAGCATGCCCCAATTTAAAGAGCCCATTTCTGTTTACACTTTCCCTCCCCCCACCAGCACAACAGTAGATAAGTGCAATACCAAAGTCAGGCAAATATATCAAACTCAAGGGCAGGAACCTAAAACTGCGTTCATTTCAAAAGTAGTGGACATAGAATGCCATCCTAGTGGCCTTCGGAAAAATCTTCCAGCTTAAAATGTGTATACGCATCACCCGTCCTCTGAATGCAATCTCTAGTGATGCGTGGATGGGATGCCCAGCTGTAAGAAACTTACTTATGGAATGCATATATGGGACACCCATCCAGAAAGGGTTAATACAAATTAAATGAAACAGAAAAATCAAACAAACGTTATGTAATCATTAATCTGACAGAAAACAGAAATACATCTGATTTTCATCCTTTACGAAGCAAATAGACTAGATAAGTAATCTTAAGAAAGAAATTTACGAGGGTTGGAACTTTAATAGTGGCAACACAGCTGAAAAAACGCTACGCATCAAAACCAAAGAATATCGCGTGTACCACACGTAAACTACATACCTACCTTACCTCTCAGCAAAAAGACTCGTCCTGCCTACTTCACGCGCATGCGGAGTGAGTGACGCAAAGAACGGATCCTTGTATTAGCTCGCGGTCTAAAGTAAGTGTTGTTAGGATGTTTTCAAAACAAGAACAACGATGTTGGATAAAAATTAAATGTGCCAGAGGTCGTACAGCACGACAGTGTCATCAAGGGCTTCAAGAGGCTTGCGAGGAATCTGCATTGCCTTACAGAACCGTAGCAAGATGATGAGTGAAAGCATTCAATGAAGGACGGCAAAACGTGGCAGACATGCTGCGGCCAGGTCGTCCGAGTGTCAGCGATGCAGACGTGCAAGCTGTTGCCTCACTAATGTACAGTGATCGCCATCAAACGATTCGTCAGCTGGCCGGACAAACCGGATTAGCGCATACGACTGTGCTGCACATTCTGAAGGAATGCCTGTCCATGAGAAAAATTGCTTCACGATGGGTTCCATATCAATTGACGGAAATGCAGAAATGGCTACGATACGATGCTGCCCGAACCCACCTGGAGCGCTATGAGCGCGAAGGAGATGCTTTTTTACGCCGTATCATTACGCTGGATGAGACTTGGACCCGATCGTACCAGCCAGAACTGAAACGCCAATCAAACGAATGGCGTCATCACGGGTCACCACGACTTTCGAAATTTCGTCAGAACCTCAGCAATGTGAAAGTTATGGTGATTCTCTTGTACGACAGTGATGGTGTCATCCTAACGCATACCGTTTCCCCACAGCAGACCGTCAATGCACAGTATTACTGCTCATTTTTGGAGCACAATCTCCGACCAGCTTTGAGAAAAAACCGGTGACACTTTCTGCAGAATGCTCCTCTCATTTTGCATGACAATGCTCGGCCGCATGCAGCGCAAGCTGTGACTGATTTGTTCAAGCGATGGGGCTGGGAATTGCTTTACCATCACCATACTCCCCAGATCTAAGCTCTTGTGACTATGACTTAATTCCTAAGATGAAGGAACCACTTCGTGGCACTCGCTTCCAAACTGTTCCTGAGATTCTTGCGCCAGTAGACCGGTCCATTCAAACTATCAACAAAACAGGCGCTGCTACAGGTATTCTGCGACTTCCACATTGTTGGAAACGGGTTGTACACAATGCTGGCGACTATATTGAAGGATTGTAAAACATGGTGACATGAGTCACTTTTGTATTCCTTGTAAATAAATAGTTGCCACTATTAAAGTTCCAACCCTCGTATTAAAATACACATAATAATTAAAAATTCACAGTTTGACTAAAAGTTGTATACTTAAAAAAATTAATAAATAAATAAAAAAAATATTAAATAATCAGGTTTTAAAGAAATATCCAATTAGCTTCAGTTTTTGAATAGTATAATAAGAAACTACACACCTCAGCAATCCTTTTTTCACCAGCTGCAATACTCAAACTCAACTTTTCCTTCAATGTCTCATCATGTTCAGCTGGATCATTTGCTAGATCTATATTATCTGTGAGATAGCATCCCAAAACTTGTTCATCATCTCGTTCTCTTCTGGCCTTTAATTCCAAAACCACATCTTGAAAAACTTTTTTTGCTTAAATAAAAATTTTGCAGTCATTAATCTTTCTATTATACCTCTTTCCATGTGCATTTAATTCATGTAAATAACCATAATATGGGGGGAAGGTGCTTTAGAAATAAACATTTTAATAAGAATCACATAAAAACAAAAAGAGATTAAAAACAAGATACATACAGATAAGCAAATCTTATTTAAAGCCATTTTGCCTCTGACCACAGATGTAGCATGTATAGTGGGTACTGCTGAATAAAATAAATCACTGTTATAAAATCAACCGCCTTTTTAAAATCAAAACCCAAGGAACAAATTCAAATGAATATCATTATAAAATATGCACTTAATAAAAATAAACCAATGCTACTGCTAATAAAACCAATGCTACTGCTTAAAAAAAATTTAATTTCTTTCAAAATTCTAAAATCAAAAGCCCAAATTTGTCTTACAAGTTAGTGATTTTGTTTAAAGTCGATTCACTTTTGTATGTGGATGTGCGAATGCTAGAATTTTCTTATCTGGAATCATCAAAAACTCCAAGTCTGTGTTTCAAGGCCTGTGATTTCATTCAAGATTGATTCACTTTTACAGGTGGAGCAGCAAAAGCTAGAATTTTCTTATCTAGACCAATCATGTGTGGACATTTGTCAGAACTGGCTCAGACCAGTTGGGGGAAAGAGGAAACATACAAAAAGACATGGGAAAGAATCTGTACAAAAAAACTGTCTTTTTCTACTCACACAGTATATTCCGTTCACTCATCCACATCTCGCTTTTGTTGTTTGGTTGTGCCTCAAAATGTCCAAATGTAAGGACTTAGGCTTAGAAGATGAAGAAGAACTGTTGATGCAATACGATGCTTTACAAAATGCAGCCAATATGAAACTTCTGTACAGCTTGGAATTTCACAATCTGCATTAAGTACATTGTTGAAAAGAAAGGAGGCAATTTCGGATGAACATATGGCAAGTGCAAATGTCTCACGTAAGTGGAAAGTCTATCGATGCAGAAAACTGCCCTTTTGAGGTAGTTTCAAAATGCTGGAAGAAGAATGCCACAATGTCGTGAGAAATCTGTATCAAAAGGCAACAGAATTCGCCAAAATGTGGGGAGAGGAATTTGTCCTCACTGTTCGATGGCTCTTAAGATGAAAAGAAACAAACAGTATCGTTTTCAGAAAATTACATGGACAAAAATAAGATGCAGACTTTAATAAAGCCAATAATTGAATAGAAAAGAACTTAGCTGGACTTCTGCAAGAATACAGACAGCATCAAAATTTTAACACTGATAAGACTGGTCTTTATATATCAAGGCCTATGACAGCATTCTTGAATGTTTAAAAATGAGTCGTCATCTGGCTGTAAAACAATTAAACAACATATTACTGTGCTATTAACGATTAATGTGGACAAACAGTTAAAAAGAGTCCATTACTCATTGGTTCAAGGTAAAACCCACGTTGTCTGAAGAGCATATAGCCTGTGACTTATTACAACAATAAAAATGTTTGGATGACATGTAATATTTTTAGTGATTTTCTTACGAAGTAGGATAAAGAACTTTTAGCAAGCAAAGTAGCACTCTTGTTACATAACTCTGTTGCCCATACAACTGATCTCTCGTTGAAGAATATAAAATTAGTTTTCCTTTCTCCTAACACGACTCCCATTCTTCAGCCTCTTGAATGCTCTTATCAGGGTGTTATAAGAGCATTCAAGAGTCATTACAGGAATCAAGTGGTTCAAAATGTTATTAATTAAATTGATATAACTGATGCAGTTTATTTTTCTAAAGAAACTATGAAGTCAATTTCTCTCTTAGATGCCATGCATATTATTTTAAATGCGTGGGATGAAGTAACTTTTCAAACGATTTCAAATTGTTTTAAAAAAGCCTGCTTCCATCCAAAGCAAATTTCTGGAAACTCTGAAAATATGCCAGAAGACAATGACGATGAATGATGAGACTTTCCTCGAAAGCTAGAGAATCGACAGAAATATCCAGACTTGCTATGAAAAAGACATATAGAGATCATCAAAGTTATCAAAGAAAACAAAAGAATAAATGAAAATGAAAAACCTCGATCCTGTACCAACAGCAGCAGAGTCTCAACAAACGTTGAACATTTTGAGAAGAACGCTCGAACTTAAAGCTACAAGCTATACAGAAAGTTCGAAGCAATGTTGTATCTTGGAGACTGCCATTGAAAAGCTACTAACAAGAAATATGCAATGAACTCGAATGGGTAAATTTTTAAATAATGTTTGATATGCTTACATATTGTATTAATCTGTGTAACACATTGAAATAATTTACAGTTTTTCTGGATTAAGAAGGCTTTTGTCATTCATGGGAAAAAATACCGAAAAGTTTTATAAAAAAAAAAAAAAGTGTACATAACTTACATATTAAACAACATATCAAAAAAAGAGTATTAATCTCAATAAATAGGCCGTATCCAAGGAGAGAGAGTATTAATCTCAACATTTGGACAGTATCCAAGGAGAGAGAGGTTCAGGTATGCACACATTTAATTCATAAATATTTATTAAAATTTTATATAAAATACGTCTACTTTAAAAAATTTTATTTTCACACACCTCTAAAATATCCAACCTTATATCCCTCCCTGAAACGAAATTCTGTATGCCCCAGTATCGCATATAAAATTCAACCACTTTATACAATCAAATAAGGTTGGAATGGACGTGATCATATTAAGCGGTACCCACTTTAGATTTGCGTGCACAAACACTCGATTTAATTCTCTACTTAAAAGACCATATTCACAAATTGTTGTGACTATTATGGAAATGCTCTACAACTCCCATACATGGATTCATGACATGGAAAACCAGGATTTTCTCAAGTAACAATGATTCTGCTTCAAGACAATGTATTACCATACATTGCTGCTCTGTACCACTAGCAAAAGTATCTAAAATTGACAGGACAGAACAAACAAACAAAACCTTGTATCGATTGCGGTCTTAAGTAGCATGTGACTATTGAGTATTCTCAATACCAAAAGATACCCTAGCTCTTTAAATGAGGAAGCAAAAACTGCCACAGCTGCAGTGCTAAAAAGGTGGTCCTAAAAGAGTAATTCCATTCATGTTTTTGAGCTATCCAGAGCCTCAGGTGACTTTAAACAAAATAATTCACAATTTTCCAATCACACCTTGCATGTAACAAAATTAATATAAAACTTTAAAAAATTTATTTAATTCATTGTAGGCAATGAAGCTCTTATACTCAGATAAAACTGCGTATAAGAATATATCTTTTCCTTACCAGATAATCATAATACATTACACAGTGGTCTTCAAACTTCATCAACTTGAGGAATAGAATTATAATGTTTTTCAGGCAACCCCATCCTACCCTTAGAAGAATATATTTTAAAATAATATTTAAAGTACATCAATATGTAATAGGTACTTTATATAAAAATAATTTAAAAAAAGTATTGTATTGAAAAAAATTAACATAAAATTAATTTAATTTACTCTTTAATCTCATACACTCGTGTTCCAGGTGTCTCCAACTCTTGCATTATATTTAGTGATAGGGGTGTGCTTGCATTTTTTGCACAGATTGTTCAAGTCTAGCTCTATTGATGTTATCTGCAGTTGCATTTCATGTTCTACATTTAATTTGTTTCTATATCTTGTTTATATTGCCACATGCATTGAGAAAGAATTTTCACTTAACTACATTGTTCCATATAGAATTAAAATATTAATATGTATTAGTGTAAGAAACTTCTAGGTATTCTGCATGAATCTAAAACTAAAATTTTAGGAGCTGCTCCTGTTTAAATTTAGATGTTGAATCTGTTGATATGTTGTTCCCTTTCCTTCACTGGCATACATTTGATTTATCAGAGAACTCAAGTGGATTTTTTATCCAGTTATGCTTCGTTTTTTGCTTCTAGGAAATATTCTCTTACAATTTTCTTCAATCGAAAAAGGTGCTGTTTTGTATAAATTTTAATACTCTCATTTAAATTCAATTCATTTTCCATTAGAAAACTGTTTAGTTTTGCAAAGCATAGCATGTCATTCTATTTGACGTATGATGTTAAGATTTAAAACTAATTTGTAGCTAAATACATCTTTATGTTTTTTAGTTAATGTCAACTAGTGTGAATGCTTTACAGTTTTCTTCCCAAATTTTTATTTTGACTTGTGGAACCTTAGGGTTTGATTCGGGGAACACCAGATTTCCACAGAACACAGTTTGAAGACCACTATATTACAGCATTTCATAAAATAACAATTCTGAAAGGGAAGTCAAATTTGCTCCTTCCTTTTTAAACAGCTTTTTGGTGTTATATAAATAAGTTTTAAAAAGGTAATACTCATAATACCACTTTTTATAAAGATGAAAAATGCACATTTTAAAAAATTCTGCAAACATCTTTTTAAATTATTCACTTTCATAGACTTTGATATTATTTTTATTAACATATAGTTATATTACTTCAGAAGGTTAACAGCTTTATAATTTTAATTTGGCTTTATTTATTATTTTTTCGGTCTAAGCTTCACTTTGTTGACTAAATTTATATAAATTAGTAATTAAAGAGACAAAGTTAAGAAAATACAGTATTATGTTATTGATTTAGTTCTCACTTTGATAAGAAGTTCCTAATCCCAGTCCCACATATGCTTGCCTTAGTAGACTTTATTTATGACTGATTTAAAATAAAAAAATATCCTGGATGGGAAAATAATTAAATTACTTTATATGGGAAAAGTTTAGTGGTTAAATATATAAGTTTTTCATTTACAGAATATAGTTCAATATGATAATCTGCATTTATCAGTCTACACATCTCAAATGGCTTTTAGCTGGTAAATGTAAATGGTTTTGAATGAAAACAAAATGGAACATAGAAAGAAGAAATAAAGCAGAATATTCTTTATAACACATAAAGCACTGGAGATAGCCTAAAATGCAATTCATGCGTGCAAAAAAAATTACACCGGCAGCTGTATAGAACTTTAATAAATGTTTTGAAGACAATGGAACTTAATATATTGCAAATTTTCAAAAAGTTCACATTTATGAATTTCATCGGGAAAAAATTACTGTTGTCAGTGATAAGAATATGCAAATATCAAACATTATGACCCAAAATTACATACGCCTAAAAATATGCAAATAAGCACAGAGATAAAAATAACTCATTTCAAAAGTTACAATGCATAAGAAATATTTCTAAATGACATTTGCAATGACTATGGATTACATAAGCCTCATTATGGTCCAAATAAAATTATTTTAAATGCTGGGGGATTTGAGACTGGAACATCCAATAAGAAAGTTGCAAATCTATTTCCAGAAACAATTTCAAATAAGTAGGACAGACAGCCAGAAACCTATTTAAAGCATACTTGCTAGCATCATGAGAGCAAAAATCAGAAGGTTTCTAGAAAAAATTCAGAAATGCAAGCAAAATATAAAATAACAAAGAACTACAGCCCAGCCTTGTATTACTATATAAAGAAAGACAGATACCCTGTAATAAGTGTGAAAGTGAAGATTCACAGTTGCTACTGAAAGAGGAATAATTTGCCAATCTTTGCAGAATGGAAGGGCAAGGATGTTCATTTTTTCAATGGTAAATCTGGCAGCTAAGTTGCTCCAAACAGTTGGTTGTCCTAAATTGAAATATATTTGATAATGTTTTGAGATGTCTTTCAAAGAACCATTTATGTCAATAAATATCATTGCTGCCCTTCTATAGGAAAAAAAGCAGCTACAACCCAGTAATTTAGGTAGGCAATCACAATCCAGTGACCTAAATCATCATACTTAAAAGAGAGAATGTTGAAGTGAAGCTCATGTTAAAGTATGAGAAGTTCATATTCTGTATTACGAGGGCCATCCAGGAAGTAGATTACGTTTCCGTCTGTGTCCGCTAGGGGCGGGGCTAGCGCGGCCATCTTGGGGTCAGAGTGTTGCGCAGCTCAGTCTGCATCTAGCCGTGCTAGTGAGAGGTTCGTGCTGTGCTCCGTTCAGATACTGTGACGGTTTGAAATGTCTGCGTTAATTGAAAATCCCGCGAGCTGCGAGGTGCGCTCAGTAATAAGGTTTCTGACTGCAAAAAACTGTAAAACCGATAGAAATCTATCGGCAGCTTCGTGAAGTGTATGGGGACAACATTATCACTGAAGGTGGAGTGCGTCAGTGGGTCATAAGATTTCAAAATGGCCGAACCAATGTTCACGACGAAGATCGAAGTGGGAGACCCAGCATAGTGACCGCCGAACTTCTTGAAAAAGGTCGATGCTAAAGTCCGTGAAAATCGAAATTTCACAATAACGGAACTTTCTTTGAGTTTTCCACAAATTTCGCAAAGTTTGTTGCACGAAATCATCAGCGAAAAGCTTGGTTACCACAAGTTTTGTGCAAGATGGAAGGCAAGAAGAGGTAACGAAGTGGTTGAAGGCGCAGGCGGCCGAATTTTTCGACGAAGGAATTTCCAAGCTCGTACATCGCTACGATAAATGCCTTAATTTGTATGGTGACTATGTAGAAAAGTAGTATTTGAGTGTGGCTTTCATCTGTATATAATAAAATTTGTTTCCTATACTTTGTTTATTTTTTTATTCCAAAACGTAATCTACTTTCTGGATAGCCCTCGTACTTTTGAGCTTTTATATAATGAATATTGAAAATTAGCCAAATTTTGTGAAGCAGGCACTAAGGAGTTAAAATATGTCTAAATAATATAATACATATATATTTAAATATATATAATATAAATATAACATATTTAAAATATATCTAAATAATTCTTTTTAATTTTGTTATATTTAAAAAATTTCAACTGACTACCTTTATCAAATTTGGATTCAGTATAAGCAAAGCATTTTTACTACACCAAATTTACTGCTATAATGCTTAACGTTGCAGAAGGCAGTGTAAATATAAAAATAAGAATTTTATTAATTTGGTTTTGAATAAAAATGAGGTATATTTATTTTAATACTTTAGAGTAACTATCTTTGAAGCATTAAAATAAACTCAAATTTCACATGGATTGAATGCAGGATATGAAAGCAACTGTGCAGCTGAAATATATATTTTTAACAAAAAAAAAAAAATTAATTAAACTTTTAAATTTCACTTACTAAATATTTGTCAAAACACATATAAATAATAATAATAATCATGCAAATGAAAAAAATTCACTTTATTTTTGTCTCAAATCTATGAACACAGTCTATGAGCACAGTATTTATAACAAATACATAACTGAAATGCATTCATTGACCATGTAAAATAACTTCAGGGGCCAGATGGGGGCCCTTATGCTGCTAGTTTGAGATCACTACTTTAGAAGACATAAGTTTATAAATGGAAAACATATTTAAAAGTCTACATACCTAATTTAGTGACAAAAGGTTCATCTAAACCTAAAAACTCAGTATCATTAATATTTTTCACAAGCTTATAAATCTCAATATAATTCGGAAATTTTTCCGAAGGTTTTCGTTTATTGATCATCTTTTCAACCGCATGATTTAGACATGTGTACCTTGAACCTATAAAAAAAGGTGGAAATATTAATAGCATGGTCAATTAATAGAGAGATACATTTAATAACTGCTTCCCAATAACATTTGAACTAACTCATTGTAACAGAAATTAATCATATCAATCACTAATTCTTTCTGTCAGAATCAGCTCCAAGGCAACAATTTTTGGAAGGCTCTAAATAAGTTAATTCACAAGTGACAAATAAATGAAGGCATATTTTGCTTTTAATTACTAATATGTTTAATTTATAACAGATGCCCAAAATACTGCAGCCAGATCTGCTTCCTGTGAGTTAAGTTGTTTTTTCATATGATATTATTACTTATGATAAAATCAAAGTTATGAAGTTACCAAATTACATTTCAGAACTCTCATCAGAAGTTTAAAAAAAAAACTGTACTATATAAAGAGCATTATAAAAATTAATTCAATATCAGATATGCCTCCGTTTATATGCCTTGGTTTCAATACTTGTAAAAAGACATCCTTTCTAACTTCTTATGTAGATCATAATGTTGTATCAATTGTTAATGCAACAACAATAACTACAAAATAAAATATGCAAATCCTTTTAAGAAATTATTTGCCAATAAAACTTATAAAGCCAAGGAGCACAAATTTTCAAACAGATTTTTTACTAAATTCTAAAATGGCTCACATTTTTACAGTTAAATGATACACATAAACGTGCTTGATAAAACAATGCACAATATCTATTCTAAAGATTATTAAAATTGCAATCTATGTATGTCCAAATCTGATATTAATGTTTTTAAACCAACAGGCAGTAAACTAGCCAATGTAGGTTTGACATAATCAATCAGCCAGTACATAAGCTTTTTCTCCACTGCCAATTTCCTGGTAGCCAATATAATTTGGCCACATAATTAGCTACTAGGATATTCCAACAACATATTTATAAGACTATGCCAGAATTTTCCAGTTAAACAAACAGAATTACTAAGATATAAAATAGGTTTCCTGTTTGTTAATCAAGTGTCATAAAATGAAAGTCAAATTCAAAATAATTCTAGGAAGCAATTTGCTATAATTTTATTAGCATTAATCATTATAATTATTATATCTTTATAACAGTTTTTTATAAATTTTATTGCATTTATAAATTATAGGTCCAAAGCTCATACAGAAAAATGAGGTTCAAAATGCTAAATCTTTGTTTCATATGAAGAGCATGCATAGATACTAAATTTCATTCCTAAATTAATATTTGCTCAAAAAATCCTTCACTCTCTAGAAAGTTATAAAAATCTGGTTAATGGAGTAAATGCCTAAAATGCCAAGCTGGAAAAGATTCTTTTTAATTGTAGACAGGAATGCATTTTAGACATGAAAAATACAGCACATACACTTTTATGCATTTACATGCCGGGCCTTTAAATGCAGTTGCAAGAATATTCCATAATAATTTTTTTATACTAAATATATAACTAACCTTCATATTTGAAAGTTTTTTCCATTTCTCTTCCAGTTCGTCGAGATCGCTGTTTTATTTTACAAAGCTCATTCCAAACTTTATTAAATTTCTGCTTATACTTATCTTCCATAATATATGTTGAATCTTCATCATCCAGATCCTCTAAAGAAAGTTCCTTTGTCTGAAGTTTACGAATTTTTTTATCTAAGTGCTGCAAAATACATAAAATACATGCTTTTATTTAATCAATAACATATATAAAGATACACATAAATGTAGCAAACTCTCCAACTTTTTATTTTCATCATTCTTCAATTTAATAAAATCTCCCACTTTTTAATTTTCACCCTTTACTAATGAAAATGTTTTTTCCCAGTAATAAATGAAACTTATATTGTGGAAATTTCAGTCCTCACCCCCCTAGCATTATTTTTCTTAATAAATTTTATTTTATACGATTTATCTTAGTTTATTGTAGACATCTGTAGAACTTTATATGAAGATTTATGTACTATTTAATCAGTTAATATTTATTTAATTTTACATGAAGATACGTTTATGTTATTTACTTAATTTTATATGAAGATATTGTTACGAAATGTACAGGCGCGGTGAGATGGGGAAGCCATCAAAGGAGTTCCCCTCAAAGGAGTTTTAGGGTTGCCATAAAATGGCACCAGAAAAAGAAGGGTTGCCACATTTGGCGAAAAATCGACCATTTGGCGACATGCCATGGGCAGATGGAAAACCTTCTGGAACGAATTCTTACCGGTTTAGTCCAGAATGTTCTCGAACCCAAGCCGAAAGCTATATAAACCCTGCTGGTCCACAGTCACTGAGTGTATATGCCTCGTCTAGCGATCTGATAGTCAGTCATTGAGCGAGTGTCTCGAAGTCTAGCGAGAGAGACTTTTAGTGTATCGCGAATTAGTGCAATCGTTGAGTTTTGTCTTAGACTGTGCTGAGTCGAGAACTATACTCTTGTGTATCGTCGAGTGCATCACGAGTTGTAGCGTGGAGAGTACGTGGAGTTCTGAGAACGACCAAGCAGAGTCGGGAGCTGTACTCAACAACAACTGGTGTCAGAAAAGAAAAACGCAACAATTGGTATCAGAAGTGGTATTTAAGGGTGAATGCCAGTGACAAGAGCGATGGAAGAACAATTAAGACGCTTGTGACTGCCTTTGCTGCAATCCAAGAAAAGATGGAAGCTGGACAGAAAAAGATGGAAGCCGGACAGGAAGAGATGAAAGCCAGACAGAAAGAGAGAAAGTCGGACAGGAGGAGATAAAGAGCGAAATAAAAGCCATTCAAGAAAAGATGCAAGAGAAATTCGAACAGATGGAAGTGGAACAAGAAAAGATTAAAAGCGAGATCATGGAGCTTAGAGAGGATACCGGAGCAAAAATAGCAGCTGTGGAAGAATGATTTGAAGAAAAATTGAGAGAATTCCGGAAAGAAGTACATGTTTCGAAAGAAAACCGGACTGAGCCCAACGAAGCTGAAGATTTCAAGGTTCCCCCAGTGTACTCTCATATGTTAATCAAACCCAAGCACATACGATGGAAAATCCTCATGGAGTGTATTTAAGACCCAGTTTTCCATCGTGGCGGAAAATAACAAGTGGGACTCCTCCATGAAGGCTTCGCAGTTGGCTGCGTCACTCCGAGGAGATGCTGCAGACATCTTAGGGGTCCTCTCCAAAGACCAGATTTCAAACTTCAATACCCTCTTGAATGCTCTGGAAATGAGATTCCGGGAAAAGTGTGCGAAGGGCTGTAGCCGTCTGCAGTTGAAATCTCGCCAGCAGAAAATCACGGAAAGCCTTCATGAACTGGCGACTGACATCGAGAGGCTGGCGCATCAAGCATATCCGGACCGTCCACCTGATGTCCATCAAAATCTAGCCTTGATGCATTTCGTCGATACCGTTAAGGATGTGGAAATTCAGAGAGCTCTCAGATGAGCAGATCTGAAAGACCTAAAATCTGCCTTGGTCTACGCTATGAAGTTCGAGTCAGCTCAACAAGTGACTCAAAGAGATCGACATCCTGTTAGAGCAGCTCAACAAGTGACTCAAAGAGATCGACATCCTGTTTAGAGAAGCTCAAAATCCAAATTTTGATGATCCAAATTTTGATGTCTCGAAATTAAAAAAAGAAATAAGAGAGATTTGGGAGGCGTTAAGAAGACCTAATAAGAACAATACTGGGAAGAAAATCGTTAAGTGCTGGAACTGTGGATCGGAAGGACATCTCAGCAGGAACCGTCACGTGAATCAAGACTGGGAGAAAGCTCCCGCGAAAGAAAACCAGGGAAACTAAAGTGTGGCAATTTCACGGGGCGGAGGTTGTCAGGCAAATATGCAGTTCCTCTGAAAGTTCTTCAAATCTCTTCAATGAGCGGTGGAGATAACGGACTGTTCGTTGAAGGATACATGAATACGCATCCTTGTAAAATGATCATAGATATAGGAGCAAATGTAACCATCATAAGAACAGATGTAGCTCGAAAATTGAGCGAAACGTTGCGCTGGACTCCGCCCTGTGTGACTTTGCAAACAATGACAGGTGGTAAGATTCCCATTGAAGGTAAAATTAGCATCATCATTACCTTTCGGGAAATGAGATCTATCAGCACTTAGCTTTCGTTCGCTAACATCGCGGATGAATTAATACTCGGACTGGACTTTTTGCGGAAGTACGACTTTACGTTGGACTTTAAACATAACGAAATGCACTCTGCAAAAGAAGATATAACTATGTTTGAAATGAAGAGCAACATTCCCTCAGCTCACCAAGTAACAACAAAAACAGATGTCACCATCCCTCCGATGACTGAATTATTAACAGCCGGCTCCATAGAAAAGAATAGCTTCAGATTTGGACTAATTGAATACCCTGAAAATAGCCCAAGAGAGGTATTAGTGGCCTCCTCATTACTAGATCTTTCGAAAGATTTCATTCCTGTGAGAGTGATGAATGTTAGTCACAAACCAAGAAACATCCAAAAGGGTGAAGTGATAGCAGCATGCACTCCAGTTACTTGCGTTTACAAAGCCCCACTTGAAATTTTCGACTAAGGCAACTAGGAAATTAATAGAAGAACTTCTGCAGAGTGCAAATTTAAACCCATGAACAAAGATGTGCAGCAGAGAAAACAATTAAAGAATTTGAAGATCTAATATTTTCTAGGTCATCCAGAGATGTTGGCCGCACAAAATTGACGCAACATCAAATTGATACGGGGGATCACTCTCCGATAAAGCAGCATCCCAGACGTTTACCATTCACAAAAACAGGAAGAGGTTAGAAATCTTCTGAAGGAGATGCAAGAAAATGATATCATCGAACCATCCACAAGTCCATGGGCATCTCCTATATTTCTCGTCTGAAAGAAAGATGCCTCGACAAGATTTTGTGTCGACTACCGGAGACTAAATAATGTCATTAAGAAAGACAGTTACCCTCTTCCCAGGATTGACGATACTCTAGACACAGGACACAAGTGGTTTTCCAGCCTGGACCTCAAGAGTGGATACTGCCAAGTGGAAATTCATCAGGGAGAAAACTGGTTGACTACCGGTCAAGGACTCTGGCAGTTCAAAGTTATGCCTTTTGTACTCTGTAATGCCCCTGCAACGCTTGAACACCTGATGGAGACAGTGCTTTGTGGTCTATCTTAGGCCCATATCACACGGCGTTTGTTTCATACGAACAACTGTTTCGGACAATTTTTCTGCCTGGTTTACTACTGAAAGAAAGACGTGCGACTTTTTCCTTCCTTTCGAAAAAAGTTGCAAATTGTTCGTTTTCAACCAATCAGCTATCAGCGCCGAATGCTGTTAGCTTGTTTGTAATGGACAACCAGTTTTCCCTGTGTTAACCCCAAAGTGAGCTATGGTGATTGGCTGTTGTGGTGACAAAGCAGAAAAATTGTTCCAAACAGTTGTTCTTTCGAAACAAACCGACGTGTGATAGCAGCCTTACGAATCCTATCTGGTCTACTTAGACGACATCATTATAGTGGGACGCACTTTCAAGGAACATCTAGAAAATATCAGGAAGGTGTTCCAGAAATTGAGAGATGCCAGCCTTAAACTGAGTCCTTCGAAATGCAAGTTGTTCCACAGTAAAGTTACCTATCTCAGGCCCGTCATCTCTGCTGAAGGTGTCCGCACAAATCCAGAAAAGGTGTCGGCAGTTAAGGACTGGGAACATCCTGTGGATATTCATCAACTACGGAGCTTCCTGGGACTCTGTACTTATTACAGAAGATTCGTGAAGGGGTTCTCCAACATCGCAAGGCCTCTGCATAAATTAACAGAAGGTAAACAAAAATTCGTATGGACTGAGGATTGCGAGAAGTCCTTTAATCAGTTCAAGGTGGCATTAACATCTACGCCCGTGCTCGCGTATCCCCAGACCGACAAACAATTTATATTAGACATAGATGCAAGCAACGAAAGTGTGAGAGCTGTCCTTTCTCAAATGCTTAATGGTCAAGAGTGAGTAATAGCCTATTGGAGCAAATGCTTGTCCAAAGCAAAAAGGAATTATTGCATCACCAGTAAAGAATTGCTTGCTATCGTAAAAGCCATACAACATTTCCATCATTATCTCTATGGCAGAAAATTCTCATTGCGAACCGACCATGCTTCTCTAACCTGGCTACTGAATGTCAAAAATCCCGAAAGACAAATAGCCAGATGGATTCAAAGACTGCAGGAATATGACTTTGAGATAAAAACATCGTAAATGCTCCTTCCACGGAAATGCAGATGCTTTATCCAGGAAGCCTTATCTTGCACACTGCAGCCATTGTTCAAGAGCTGAGGCTAAGTACGGGTTGGCGAATCCGAGTATCTGGCAGGTAACATCTTCAACACCAAATGATCCAGATCCATGGAGTGATGAAAAAGTTAGAGAAGACCAATCAGCGGATCCTGACATTAGGCCAATAATAGAACTGAAGGAATCCTCCAGTACAAAACCCAAGTGGCAAGACATTTCCATTTTCAGTCCTGCAACTAAAAGGTACTGGGCTCTCTGGGATTCACTCCACTTCCAAAATGAAGTCTTATATCGACTATGGGAAAGCGACGATGGAACTAATAAGAGATGGTAGCTGGTGCTTCCTCGAAACCGAATACCTGATGTTTTGAAGGAAATACACATCAGCTCAACAGGAGGGCATTTCGGCTGTATGAAG